AACTCGACCTACCTAACAATGGATGCTGCCCCCCAAGCAGCGTGTTTTTCTTCCTGGCCTCCTTTTCGAGATCAGCCTTGGCTTGTGATGCCGAGGTCGGCAGAGTTTCCATGGGGACTGCCTCAGCGGCATTCACTTTGTTGGCCCTTCGACGTAAGAACCCCATATTGATGAATTAGAGACGATGGAAATATTCTGACAGCAACTGTACGTCTCGAGCAAGAGGAATTCCAGACTACCCGAGGGAGCAAGATGCTCACCTACTTGAAATCTTAGCGGAGCGATGCTACTCTCATGAAGAGCGCATTTTTACACGGATGGCGGCGGCGGCACTGTAAGTCTACGTAGTATTATTAATTTGCATCCCTGCATCTGTATTCCCCTCCCCCTGTGGCCCTTATTGACGATTGACTAAAAGATCGTGACTGAAAGTATGAGAAGAGCATCATATCATGGCGATGGAGGCCCGGACCCCTACATCCCCCAAGATCGCCAACAGCCACAGCATGGTAAACTATCGGCTCCCTCATCACCACTCCCCCTCTCAGCTTATGGTTGCCCACCTCCTTGTGCCGGCGGCCTTGGGGAGCCTAAACCCTTCTTGCCTGATACAAGGTCTATGGACTCAGCCACCTTGGAGCAGGTAGTCGTACCATACGACGACCGTTTCACTCATGCTCGACCCTCTAGGTTGTTAACCAACTTGTTGTAAATAGGCAGAAGCAAATGCAGAATGATGGAGCCAGTGGACATGTACGTCGCCGCCTTGGCCCCTTCTCTTGCTAGTATGTTCTTGTCAGCTTCCCCCACTTGGACTGCCGAGTTTGCCCTCCAATGGGAACTCCATTGCTGCACCCTACAGTGGTCATTCTGGTGGAACCGAGGCCCAACATCAAGCCGTGAGTTCATCTTACTAATAGCTATGGCTAGAGGCTCCCGCAGGTGCAGCATATCTACTCTCATTTGATTAATTACTTCAATTCGACACAAGCAGCTGCAGGAAAACTGTCAATGCCGTTCTCGGCGGTAAGTGCAAAGTCAGCCCATCCCCTCTATCGGGTGCCCTGTTATTCAGAGTGGCGGTGCCTATCCATTGGTACCACACCTTCCAAACTTCTCGCAGGTAGTACAGCATAGTAGTAGTCTCCCTGCAGTATCCGTCGTTCCGTATCATTGCTACCTCAGATTGGCTTACCTCAACAGCCCAGTGCGCCAGTTGTATCAGTGACTGTTGAGGGTGTTAACTTCAGCTACCAGCTAACAGAAGATGATCTACGGAAAGTATAAGTGCACCCTGATGGGCATCTCGAGCCAGTCTCCTCGGCTCAGGTTTTCTCTCGCTACGGTGAAGTTCGTGAGGTCACCGTTAACCCGGACGGAGGATCTGCGATTATTCGCTTCTCGACTATGCCCGAGGCGGAACACGCTGTCAGAGACTACACGGCAAGATGCTCAATGGGGTTCGAGGAAGCCTAAGTGTTCAGTGGTAGCTTTCCATACCCTATCACCTGGCTCGAGAGTCATCTGTCAGGCACAATACCATGGGCGGCGAATCGTCGCCTATCATGTTGGACTTACCCCCACCAGCGTGGTTGCATCCACCCCCGGCTCTTCATGGGGATAACAGAACATTCGTCCCTCCCCCGCCACCGCAAATCCCCACCAATATTCCTTCTGCTCCTCCTCCTCCCCCTCCGCCGCCACCACCACCACCACCACCGCCTGCCTCACCCGGGACCTCTAGGAACTATAACTACTCGCCCTCTATCGTGCCTTATCATGATGCTGGTATGGATGTTGGTGGTAGAATCAGGAAGTACACGTGTCGGTTCGAGATTGGTATTGAGAATGATAGAGAGTTCCACGTGGCCAGGCGACTGATTGGACAGAAAGGCGCTAATATGAAGAGGATAGTCAAACTTTCTGACGCCAAGCTCCGTCTACGCGGTAGAGGTTCGGGCTTCCTTGAGGGCACTGCTAAGCAGGAGTCCAATGAGCCGCTGCATATGTGTATCTCTTGTAAGGATCCAGAAGGGTGAGCAGACCATCCAGTTCATACGAGTTCCGACATGTCCTGGTGTAGGTACAGAATCGCGGTGTCGGAGATGCGTATGTTGTTGGAGCATGTGTATGATGAATATCGTCATTTCTGTAAGGAGAGGAACATTCCTTATCCCGAGGACCTCGAGGTCCTCGTCAAAGAACTCCCTCTGGTCTCGAGCCCTAGAGCCCCTCCTGATGCATCGCCGGTTTCGGGAATAGGGGCGCATGAGAGGAGACGTTATGGGCGCCAGCAGAGTGGCTACTCATCTTATGAAGGGGGTGGACATGGTGAGCTATGGAGTGGTGGTGAGTTCCATCCTATATTTGGGCCAAGCTACGGAGGAGACGCTGATCATTTTGAGATGCCACCTGGCATGCCATCTGTTGAGGAGATTGAGCGTCTTATCGAGGAGAGGAACAACGCTAGGAGGGTGTGCAACTTCAAGGAGGCTGATAGAATTAGAGACCTACTTAGGGCTAATGGGATTGGACTCATGGATGAACCTGGTGGTCGTGGCAAAGGGTCTGAGGTCACCACTTGGAGGTTCTGGCGTCAATAGTAATACCATTATAGTTCTCATCATGTTACATCGATATGCAAGGCTACCTCCTACGACTCTTTTTCATCGACACTTGAATGTCCCTTTTGCATTAGTTAACGTCCACCATCACTGCTGCTATTGTTGAAGTCGTGGTAGCCCAACCGCCTCGGCGTGAGCTTAGGCACTTTGAACTGCAAGCAATTTCAACAACTAACATCGCTATAGAGAAGCAGCCCCTTCAATTTGGTTTTCTGCACCATCGAGCGTCGCTCCTCTAGTCAATGTGTCCAACCCAATAACTTTCCCGCGTAGATGTACATGGCAGTGCTCAAATCCTCTGCCTCAATTACTGTGACCTGCTTGGTAGACTGCTTGTCATGATGCATCAACAACGTGTTACTTCTAGGTCTGTTATCCATACTTTTGCAATATTGATATCAATTTCCTATGCTTGGGGGCATAGTAATACGAATACCCAATTCTATTGCTTGCAGTATCATGTCTGTTCTTGCACGCAAGTGGTGACGGAATAGGCGTAGGCTTGGGATGAGGTTCGGGTTTCGTAGCCGTCACTGATGGTTATCAAACATTATCGCTTTTATTGTCACTACTATTATCACCACCACTACTGCATATAACTTGAAAACATTCCAGACCGCCCCTCTCGAATTTTGTCTGATACTCTTCTGGTCGTCTACTTAGTCTTTATGGTCGTCATTAGATTCAACTAATTAGAATTACAGGCTCTACCGGGCACTAGAAGCAAGAGCAGCCCTCGGTAATACTATACCTTCATGTCTTGGCTCCCTACAAGGGTTTACTACTCCCTAGCGCATCCCCTTGGAGTGGCTGTATGCATATTACGCCTAAAGAGCCCCAGCGGTATAAGATGGTGGACGTGGTGGTTACTTGAGTTCAAGTCACTTCCTATGTGATGATGACTGGCCAGCAGTGCCACCGAATATCTCTGTTTGTTTATATGCTCTTACTTTTCAGCATAAGCCTTATTGCGTTCAGAGTGAGGGGATATCGATCAAATGCAGCGCCAACTCGCCTGGCAATTCCGAGGCCCATCGCAGTGCTTCTCGCTTGATGGTTTGCTCGATACCGCGGGCAAGTGTGAACTAACAACTACATCGAGCATTTCTCGGATCAGCAGTTCCTTGCAATAGTTTAGCTTCACCGGTAGACAATTTAGGTTGGGTTGGAAATTTCCCACTAGGTCCTTCGTGAACTGAGGGTTGGTACCAGACGAGATCGAGGTCTGTAGCTGACCAGCGCGACCATGGAGTCGTACACTTGAATGTGACAACTTCAAGTGAGGTACCCTAGAGGAAATTGGCATTGTATGTAGATGGTGAGAGTCGCATGCTGGTCCTACTATGGGACACTCTTAACAAGTCGTAGCTCATCTTTATGTCGCAAACGGCGAGAGCCCGGCCGCAGTCCAGGGTGTGAGCAGCGACGTGGCTGGTTCGGCTACTCACCTCTGAAGTGGCCAGGTTGTTTTTGGAGGGGACGATGATACTGTATGATCTCTCAAGAAGGATGCAGTCTATCTCTCGTTGTTATAGCAATGACGCGTCGGTCCAATATGCCCGTTTGAAGGGAAGTGCTCCACGACGCAAAACTGGAAGTAGCGAGGGGTAGGGTATGCAGACAACCTCCTATGGGAGCGAGGAGGTGTCGGTTCCTCATCCGTGTACTCCACGAAATGTGCTCGCTTGCGATGGTGACACGGTACAAGATGCAGCGACTGATTAGCAAGCTGTCCAGGGTCAAGTGGGAACTAGTGATGATAGGTGACTCTGCATGCACTGCTTTATTGTCTCCAATCTCCTTGCTGTTCATGCCATAATCAGACAAACCCGCAAACGGCAACTGATGGATATAATATGCTCGGCTGAGTTCCAAATGTACGGCGTAGGCTAGACACTCTGTTAGCATGTAGTCATTACTGGCTCCTCTTTTATCATGTGGTATGCGTTTAAGTTCTCTACATGTATTTGTGTAACACCATGGTGTTTCAAGCATCTCGGCCATCCCTCCTGCGTTGTTTGTGTGATCGACAAGTTCAATTTAGGATTGTTTTATCATTCCACTCAGAGAGGCCATGCACCTCTCCCAGAGTAGATACCGAGTACGTGATCTGCCGTGGAAGGTCCCTCCTTCTGAAGAGGAAGTATCTCCATCAGCAGTGCCACCATCAGCAGGCTCCGGTGTCCCTGCCGAGTCGCTATGGCCACCTGACTGGCCCGAACGCCACGCCTTCCCATCGGCCCCACCTGGCAGTCTACAGAGGACTGTTGTTTCCAGCAGTAGGATGAAGGGCTGTATTGTCACTCAGGAGCTGCGAGAGGTGAACATTCGGCAATTGTTCGAGGCATGCTACTCCGACAGATATGCTCTTGCCCGCCGCCTATCAAAGCGACTAGACTATGCTCTATAGCAGAGCTCTCACCGGAGTCCTCTGAGCCTAGCAGCTACCAGGAACCCATCCCGTTACTGCTAACCCGTCCCGCTGATCCAGCTGAACTATCGACCTCAAGTTCGTCCACCTCCAACGGTGACACACGTGGCACTCGGCCAGCCATGTTGCCCTTCAAGCGGAGGATCATTGATGAGAGGGTAGGGATCTCCAAGGACGCCCCCCGCAGACTGCAGTGGTTTCTGAAGTACGTATACTGTCTCTGCTCGTATTCTGTTCAACGTGTTCACCTTGACAGTTTGCCCAATGGATTCAGCAATAACCTGGCGTTCCAGAGCGCTGGACAGGCACTTGATGAGCCCATCGTGCCCTTGAAGCGGCCATCAAGGAAGGGGCGTAAGAGGCCTCATGTCGACTATCCTGCCACTCATGCAAACACAGAAGGTAACTGCACACGACTGCTCAGCTGCTCGAGAGGTTGCTCCTAGGTATACCTCTGATACCGAGCGCAAAGGTCTCCGTAGGGCCGGGGGCTATAGGTGGTCATGTTCACTGCATTTTACTGCTCATAGTCTACTACTCCAATTCAGTGCCGACCACTAATGGGTACAGAGTACTCGACAGACTCCCTCCTCTCGACCTAAGTGGCCAATGCGTGTTGCTTCTTGGTATGGTCTATGCCAATGAGAAACGGCGGGAATGGTAACGATCAGCATGATGTTGTCTGTCGTTGGAGTGTGCTCCTTCAGTGAAGGCCAAGGCATGCGCGATACTAAGAGAATTGTAGCGTTGGAAAAGGAATTCGATTGCCGTGTCTTCACGGTGGATAAGACTCATCCAGAGCGGGTGAGCAGAACGCCTTCTCTTTCGTCCATGTTGGCTCCTTAGGTCGGCTATGTCACCGACAATGTCCTGCGACACATTCAGAGCAACTTCAATGACCCCAGACGGATGCTCAGCTCCTTCCAACAGGCATGGGGGAAAGAGGTGAATTCCTCTCAGTGAATTGTCATCTCGGAATGTCCTCTTAGGGTCGTCAGCAGTTTCGCTTAGTCGCTCTGGACTACTTCAGGAGTCCAGCCGGATGGTCCGAAACGAAGTAGTATTATATACTTATCCTCATTATAGGTCATAACCTCTGTAGTTGGAGCAAAGCGTTCTTTGACCATACCCTACCAGCCCTCTGTACAGAAGGATGGATGCCCGACGACGGCCGCTTGATACTGCCTAACACTACTTGCACCATGGATGGTATCCGAGCTTCTGAGGACCTGCAAGCCTGCTTCAATGTACATCCACCTTCCCATCCGATCGACCATGTTGTTGTCCTCAGGTAGCGGTACTCCAGGACCCTGATGATAACCCGCTCTGGGCCGCTACAAGAACGCTGGAGGCCCACGGGACGTAAGTCCCCTTCCTGCTTATTGCGCTCGCGAGGATGGTCATCTGCACGTCGCCTTCAGACTCTATAGTATGAGCGGTCACTATACTAACGATACCGAGCGGAGGCACTTGGACGAGCTAGCGCCCTTCATCCAGCTCACTCCCATACCTGGTATGTCTGGGTCGAAGATGAAGAGGAATGGTGATTGACGCTCACCTGCGGGCCCGTGTACGATTCCCTCCGTAATCGCTGGCCTTCTCTTGTCAATACATCGCGCATCTCTTGTATCGAGTCACAAGTTTGTATTAAGTCCATAGTACATTATTACAACAGTTTCTCGCCCATCTTACTTCGATTGGGATGTTGAGTCACAATCAATTGCGATAAGAGTCAGTCGTAGTTGGGAGCTCAGTGGTGAATCCGTTCCACCAGGCGGGGTCTCCCTTTCGCTCCTAACTCCACTGATCAGTCAGGCGTGGTGCCAGCTAGTATAATTATTGTTGAGTATCCGTGACGGATATGGCTAGATTGGAGCCCAGCGAACTCTATGTGGCGCCGACCCACAAAGAGAAAGATATTGAAAGACGTTGGTCGCTGAGGAAGTCCGGAATTCTCTGTGATTGGAATGCGAGAGTGAGATGAGGCCACAGTGGCTACCAGGCGTCTCCGAGGAGATGAGGCTACCAGGCCACAGTGTTTTGGCGGTGTCAATCGATGAGCATAAAACAATAATAGTTGCTGAGATGAATGGTTCAGAAGGGACGCGTTACTCGACGCACGGCATCCTCGATGTGACAGAGAAGACTTATCGATTGTGTTGTTTGTTTTTGTCATGTATACGATTGATTATGATGCTGTTCTGGACAGTTTCATTCCGCGTTAGGGCGTCGTTCGTTCCGCTATCTCGGGCTGACTAATATGGCAAACACTCCGCTTATATGAAACGTCACTTATATCAACACATTGTTTCTCAATGGAATCTCCTGTAGGAACGAACTTCCCCACTTGCATCTTCGCTCCCTCCTCTGAAGGCTCCTCTAAGAGGAGTCCTCTTTCATCAAGTCGCTCAGTGTTGATCCATCACCCCTGACTATGGAATTTTCGCCCGCTACTGGGTTTTCTCTTACGTCCGAACATCTAGTTGTTCCTTCGCCTCTCCTGCGGTCAGCGTCTTGGTCGGTGAGAGAAGGAAGTTGCCACACCACACGCAGTAGTCTGATACCCAACGAGTTCCCGGCCTCTCAGGGCCTCCCTGAGTCGCGGGGTCGGCTTATGACACTTCCAACACTCACACGCCTCGATGCCGCTTAGCTCATTGCTTTGGGGGGACGATGATACATCCATCAGTGGGGAATAAACTATTTGAAAATACGCAGTCTGGTCCCCGATGTTCTGCTTCCAAGCAGAGCATAGTTGATCTCAATTGATCGAGCTGTTGTTCATAGGGATCCCTGTGTGTTTATGCGGTAATTTGAAATTCGCTCTATCATGTCGGGACAGATATGTGAGCATCATTCAAGATCTTTACGTGTCCTGTGTGCTGATTAGTCTGCTATGGCTATAAGTGTATCGTTATTGTCCTACATGTGGTACTTCCCCTTGTAGGCATAATAGGAGCCCGGTGAGACATCTATGAAGCTGTCAGAGGTTAGGGGTCCATCTAAAAACGCAGCGCCGTAAACTAGTGAGAGCTTTCTCATTCTATCTCACCGCCGCAGTCGCGCTACACGCGGGGTTCACTAACTCATAAATTGTTATCCTAAATAGGATAATGAACATGATTGCCATGTTGTGTCTTATTGCCGCCGTGAAACGCTCACACCACAATTTGCGTTAGTTGCCTATAAACAATTATTATATGAGCCCACGTTACATGGGCCACGTATATCCAGGATGAAACAACACTCAGTGGTCCTACACTAGCAAGATCACTGCGAACCAAACAGTTATGGATATCTACATATTCAAAAGGGCTTTCTTCAATTCGAGAGCACGACTATAGACTACGGAACGCTTCTAAAGCTTTGTCAATCGATTAAAGTTGTTATAATGTTGATATTACTCAAAGTTGCCTACCGAACTCTCAAAATATGAAGGCGTTGAAAATATCACTTTGCATAACGATTTGGTTCACACTGTAGAGGCAACCCATGCACACTACGTAGTCTACACAGATTAGAGTGAAAATTTCTCCGGCCCATCTGCTCGAGCACTTCATAACTCGAAGAAACCCTATTCGATTGACAAGGGGTTCAGCAAGCTTCGAAGGAGTCCAATAGAATACTACGCCAGGCTCACGATCCCCCGTGTCACCACCAGCTGGCGGGCGTGTCTCATACTGCCCACGCCGGAGCCTACTGATCACTATTAGTGTCATTCGTATAGGTCCGCTGCATAACGTTGACACCAAGGTCAGGAGCTGGTCCTTGCAGCCACCTCTACGACGGAGCGTCTCAAGAACGCTCCCATGCATATCGAGGCAGCGGCATTGATACTGCAGTGGATGAATAGCCACCGCCGCTGTCAGTAGGACCATCTGGCCTATGATTCCATGCTTGCTGGTGGCTATAACTCTTGCCAAGTATTATAGTCATAGCTGTTGGCCATCACTGAGTCCCACTCATGGGAGTCGCTCTGTTTGTCTGATCAACAACTACAGTGGTTAGCAACTCGATGAGAGCGAGAGGCACCCAGTTCCTGGCAAACTCGACGCGGAAGGTTTTGCAAGGAAAGCAAGGAAATGGTACGAACTCTGCAATGACAGCGCCCTTAGGGACAAATATACATCCGTGATCGAGCTGCTGATGTTAATTCTCGGTTGATGAAAGCAAGCAGTAGACCAGACAACGATGATCTCTGTGAAGGACTGAGGGGCGTGAGGGACCTCTCCGGAGACTCATCGCTAGATACCACCATGTCGCCGGCAGGAGCCTCCTCGTTTATAGATGAAGTGGGTAAATTCTGAAAGATAAGCCATAGCTAAAAACTTCATACGAGCCTCCTACTTCCTCAGCCATGGGCTCGCGGTCTCCTCGAGGCCGCTTCGAACCTCGAGGGTGACATGCCCTGCCAGCACGGCCCGATGAGCTGCTATTGCTGCTACTGGTAGTAGCCTTCGCGGCAACCGTAGATGATGCCCGTAATTTCTCCTGCAGAGCTCGCATTCTTTCACTCATACGGACAGCAGGATCCTTCGGCCTTCCATGTTTCGGGTGAGGCTTTGATGGAAGCGGTCGGGGTTCCGGCAGCGGCTCCAACTCCCGCTCCGTCGCCCTGACCTCAGTCGTTGACCGGTCAACCGATAAGCATAAAGGACGACCAGGTGGCAACGGCGGACCTGGGCCACTGTGCAGCGGTGTGCTGGCTTCAGCAAAATGTTGTTTGCGGCGTGACGCCATTGGCAACCGTCTCGGTATGCACGGCTCTTCTGGTGCAGTTAGATCTACTAACTGAGGTGTTGGTCGAGGAGGAGATCGTGGGGTGATCGGCAATGCCTTAGGGAGTAGATCGCCGTGATTGCCAGCGTACCATGCATAAGCAGGACTTGCTGGGGGCCCAGTGGTAGACCGGGAGGATGCGGATGTAGAACCACCTCGTGCCAGAGGAGGCAGTGGTCGCCATGTTGCCTGGACAACTCTGCCGGCCTTGGGAACAGCTGCTCCTCCCAGACCACCACGTAATGCTAATGGCTTCGGTGATGCCATTCTACCTCCTCGGCCTCGTGGAACCGCTCCAAAGGAAGGTCGGCCGGTAAGTCCACCTCGGAGGGTTCGGGTAGAGCCTCGACCCGCAGTAGAGGAGTATCCGCCTCTCCTTGGAGGACCGGCATTCATTCAACCAAGCCTAGGCGGCAATAAGCAAGTCCACAATAATAATACTGCTCAACAGCCGCTATGTTGAATAAACCAAAGCCGCGACTTCAAAATAGAAACTTCTGTGTGGCAGAGTTGTCCTCAATCCACGAATGCCCCCAGCGATCCCTTCCATGACCTGCATGTGCCCCATAGGAAACTGTGCTATGGGGGACAACCAGCGGTGGGAGCAATACCGCTCTCCTCGGAACGTACCAAGTATACCGAATATATCGTCGCTGCCCTCCGCTCTGCAAGCCGAGTCTGGGTTGGCAGGTCACTCATAGAACATCCGAAACACCTAAAGGCCGAGGACCTCCTAACTCGGCAGTGGTTATATTCTTCTCGCAAAGAATTCCATACAGGACATAGTGTAGGAGCGGGCGTCATTCGAAAGCCTCTCTAAATTTTCCTTTGAGGAGTGAAGTGCGGCTTGTGAGGTAGGAATAAGCTGCAGAGCTTCTCATCAAAGAGCTCGCCTCCTCACCGTTTCTCAGCCGCTACGACTTTGGGGAGTTAGTGGACTGTCCATCTCTAACCATCTGGTTCATACTTATCGAATTTTCGTGAATCACATTTACCAGAAAGCAACCGACGACATGCATGATCATCCTCAGATGAGCTGGAGCCGCTGGAGGAAGGACGCCTCCCTTAAAGGACGCCTCGAGCCGGGAGTACCGGCGTGACGCCGGCGACGTCCCCCGGAAAGCACACAGTTCCGGTGGAAGCCGGTAACATGGGGCTCTACGTCATTTATGATTCGAAGTTCGTCCAGCTGACGAGCCACGCCGAGTGCCCAGAACGCTCAGGCCAGATTCGCTATCGGTATGCTGAGTAAGACATGAACTATGAAGGGATAATCGGTGATATCTCAGTACAGTCCAAAGTTCGAGGCACAGTCGAGCTCGTAGACCTGGGAGGCTGACAAGGAACAACGTGATGAGTAGTATGAGGCCCAGATAATACCCGAGACCATCGCTGTTGGCTGCAATAGCCGTATTCAACACCAATTGTTGCTCCAAGGCCTGGCAATACGTAGGGAGGCGGAGGGCACTACCCTGCTGGATTTAAGGAGTACATCATACCATACTTCCAAGAAAACATTCCCACGAGACCCCGCGTAAAGTCCACAGAAAATGTTGAGATATCTCGAAACGTTCGACACATGGCTGACCGACAGCATGCTAGACGATAACCACATCAGCACCCGCCGACTTGAACTTTTCCATAACCTTCTGAGCCTCACCCTTATCGAGGCCTTTCTTTAGTATCTACCCGAAGGAAAGTTGAAGGGATCGTCCCACGGCGCTGACCTTAGGGAGATCTTCCACCATGTCCTTGGATTCTTTCAAGCCAAGACCAAGCAGGGCTCGAACCTACCATACGAACCCAGCACCCACACTATGGACAAGAATACGCACCTCTTTCACCACAGTGACTTTCTTGCCGTCTTCATAGCCCGTGAGCTTTAATGCCACAAGGCTACCTGTTTGGGTTGCTGCTGCTGGTGTTGATGTTGCTCCTGCATCATCAACCATTGGTTTGGGAGCTCCTTCCTCAGGCTTGGAACGCTCTTCCGAAGGAGCTGAGTGATACCACAATTTCACGCCATACGCCCGTGGGGGCCAGTATTACCCGACTCGACACTCGGCTGTTGCTGGTGTGGTACAGCTCCCGACTGAGGCAGCATACCACCCATACCATATGGTCGATACATACAGGGCCGGGTGGAAGCATCCAAGCCCGAGAACATGTGCATGGGATGTGGGAAGGGCTGTCGGCCAGGTATCGCGCTGGTTGTTATGAAATCTACTATTAATCATGAGGCACTCATCGACCCTTCCCGGGACTACTTTCAGACTTCAGTGTGGCTTCGAGGACATCTGCCAGATCCCTCGCGTCCCGCAGGTCCAAGGTCATAATCTGATACTTCACCAGTGACCGTACATCAGTTCTCATCACAATCGGCTCACTTCGTCCACTATCTCCAGCAAGTGATTCCGCTTCTCAGCTTCGGTAAGCTCGAACATCGAGCTGAAGGCACTACCCACCTCCCGCAGGTCTGCTGAACCCGTGGACACATGTCGGGTCGCAGAGGCTCGCAAGGACAGGCGGCGGCTGGCTGACGCCAAGCCAGTTAGACGACTCCTTGCAAGTAACATATAGACGATGGCGGCCCTGAAGTTCCTGGCAGGTTCGGAGAACCAGGTTTCACCAACTCGCCAAGCTTGGTGATTTCGGGTCCTAATGAACTCTCGCCAACACGCTCAATCATGGGATACGATCGCTTCTGGACCATATTTCACCTCTTTGGCGTCGATACCTAACGAAATTCACCGAGATGTGGCGGAAACTGGTTGAGGTAATCCGCAATTTTGTTCGCCCAAATGATCTATCTCGTTCTGTGCGCACGGTTACAGCAACTTGGTATTGGTGTAACATGTCAGTGGCCCATATATTGCTATAAAACTTGGTAAACTTATCGGTATTCGCCAAGTACGTGTCGTAAAACGCCGATATATTGGTATAATCATTTGTTTATGAAGATTAGACCATCTTTGGCGATATCCGCCTTTTAACGATCACGGTTGGTATGTTCTCGACTCGGAGTCGAATATCGCCAGGTGATTTGTTCAAATCTGGTATTGTGACAGGCTTTCGCCACAACTTCTTCATGATCCCTGTCCGGCGAAAGCCGTATCAGGGCCGCATACTGCCAAGCTGGCTTTAGCCGCACATGATGTTCGGTTAAATCCAGCTTGGCAGTATGAAGGGTGAATTCACTTACATCACTGAAGTGTGCCGCACACTTCAGTGACTCTGATTATGATTATCATGTGACATGGTTCATGTCTTGTGGTTGGGCGATAGAGCGGTCGAGTACAGGAAAGCTCGCGCGGGGAACCCAGGATCTACTCCCATGAGTTGTTAGCACACTTCGTTCACTTTACGACTCAACACTAATAGTTATGGATTTCTTTCACAGAGATAGTATCGTCTCCTTATCCCGTCATTCGATATTGTTATTGCACATTGTACCGCACGCTACACTATCTGAACGCAAGTCGTATCAAGTATATGGAGAGCTCAAACATAGAAAAAACTTTTCACATTATCTTCACTTTGCTATCGTAGGCTTCTCGTGATACCTGATAACACTGATCGAGATGCTCCACAGAGCATGCTGAACTTACCGGTTTACTTACCAAAAAAGTACTCGAGCGAATACGGATAAAACCGCGATGAGTCGGGCACCATCTAAGAGATCAGTCTTCGACCGAATACGACTGCTAGCTAACATACGGACACTATCTATTAGATTAGCCGTGGCGCAAATACGAATCACAGCTCACATAATGGACGCAATCCACTGGATTAGCGCGACGAACCTCAAGCACTCTTCGTAGTACTGACAGTGCTTGAGGTACTTGAGGTGGTGATATTCCGCGTGATTGTCAGTATTACTGACAATCATGCGGAAGATCAGTGATCTTACCGGCTTTGCCCTCATGGTGATCTTGGATCACCATGAGGGCAAAGCCGTTGGCAAAGGTATTCACTCGACCTGGCCGAATTAATTCTTGCTAAGTTTGCCGAGACGGCCAAACTCAACGAGGAGGTTGAACAACGTCATATGACCTCTATGAATCGGTCAGTGATCTCCGATCGTCGTATCTACATAGAGATCCTTCTTTTCGATGGAATGCTCCGACCAAAGCTCGAGTTCCATAAATCATCTACATCGATGGTAAGGCAATGAGTGTGTTATGCACAGCGGCGGTGATCGATAACCGCAAGCAAGTTAGATTCCCAGTTATTGTAGGTGAGCGCTGCGCGTAACGACTGGGTGAGTTTCCAACTTTCCCTGAAATCCTAGAATGAACCGTACGACGAACACGTTCCTTAATCTTCAAAATTTTCTTAATGGGGATCCGTTGACCCGAGAATCGGGTCCCGATTCGGAACTCCCGAACGATCAACGACTTCCTTCGAGCTTTTGCGGCAAGAGTCTTGCCACTACGAGTCAATACCATCGTGACTGTTTAGCACAATGCCTAACGCGTATACAATACCGTATCTAATCCCTGACTAACATACCGTTCAGAAGAAACTTAGCCACTAGCGAATGATACACCTCAAATCACAGTAAATCACTCATCACTAATCGTTGGACCTAGGCTCAGGTCTAACGTAGGCAAAGGAATTAAGTTAATAATTTCGACTATTTCAATTGGCTCACTTACAGACGCCTAATGATTAGATCCTAATCCTAGTGTTCACGCACCCCAAGGAACACCCATGCACAAATCTGTGACGCGAAACATGGAGGCTAGCCGCTAGCACAATAGACAGCATAGACCAAACAGCAAATATCGTAGCAAAAGTACAGTAAATACCGTATTACAAGACACAAATGAACCATAACAGTCAACAGATCTCCGTGCACTGCGCCGAACCGTACAGTGCTCAACAGTTTACCAGTGGCTCTGATCATCACCATCATCATGATGGCCCATCATTGATGGCAATGGTTGTGCTCGCTGCCAGTGAGTCACTGGAGCGGTAGTGGTCGTGAACATCATCATTGTGATGACACGCCAGTAGTGGCGTTCACGGGACTGGTGGATCGGAGCTTGATGCGCATCGGCTCGTTGTGCTTATTCACTGAGGAATCCTCAGTTGATGAATAAAGAATCCTCCAGCCGTCCAGCCTGGACGACGTCTCCTTCTGCAAAGCCTCCCCCGCCAGACTGGCACGTATACGTCTGGCACGCGGAGTTACCTTACGGTGGCCTCTACCACGCGACGTAGACGCATTCGGGTTCATGTGGGAGTGCTGGACACCACCGATTTGGTGGCACCAAAACATGAGTCGATAGCCAGGGCGCGCGCTGGTCGACCCATATTTCGCAATCCTATAATCACCTACTTGGCAATTCTTGTGCAGAAGACCAACTTGGCGGGAGCTGTCTATGTGCAGTTATTGCCAATACTGAAGTTGGCGGAATGAGAACAACACGCAGATTACTGCACATCTGTTGAGTTTTGCAGAATCCACCAAATCTTAGTCCAAATCAGTTGTAGAGTAACGTATTTCATCACATTGCTGTAATCTGTTCCAACACTGGTATCACCTATAATTCCTGTCATTAGGCCTGCGAATCTGTTTGGCGTCATTTTGGCGAATTCTGAGTTGGCGAAATCTGATACAGCCGGCAGGTTGCGCATGAAAAAAGCGCTCGCCCAAAAGGCACGATCGGTTTGTGGAGTGGAGGAGGGAGCGTAGACGGAGATCGGAAAATATTTAGAAGTGTATCCCAGAATATCTACCAACTTAAAGTCCATCGAAACGATGCCTAGGATAGAAGTTATGATGAAACTTGCGAAGGTCGCATTCGAATTGGCCATTTAGTCGGTGACTTTACGCTTTCGATGAGGAGATGTGCTACAGGCATACAGTATTGCTTCAACTGGGCGCAACAACCATACCAATAAAAGTGCTGTACAAACAGCACTCATGCTCGACCGTTTACTACGGTGTGGAGCAGTCAGATATGTCACGACGCGTATGGGGCTTGCTGGTTAACAGAAGATCCGCATATTTATCTTACCACCCTTGGCTCGAGAGCAGCGTCAATTACTGTGTTTGGATAACCATCCTATCGGAAAATTTCTCCGCCATAGTTTGCCAATGGCCCGTGGGAAGAGCTCATAACGATGGAATCATCACCAAGGGTTTAGATGGTCTTCCTTTCGCTGCTTTTCAGTGAGGGAGCCTGAGCAAGCTGCAGGCGACAAAATATAGTTTTCTCCGTGTGTGGTATGAGATCGGTTCTAGCTCGTCGAAACGAATGAGCGATTTTCCTTATCTCGCAACGTTTTGGGCCTTTCACCCGCCAGATGACATGCTTCTCGCTGAGAACATTTGAGGCGAAGTTTACAGGTCAGATGATGAGGATGAGAACTTCCCTACCCAGAAATGCGACCACGAAGAGGGACCGCCCTTCTCGGGTAGTCAGGACCCGAGTTGAACCCCCTGTATAAGCTTGATCAGGCTTGCCAGCTCCTCGCCTCTTAAGACTACTACATTCTCATTGTTACGAATCTGGCAGTCTGCGATTCAGTTAATCATTCCCTCATGGGCGCCCGACTTTCCTACCTAATTAACCGAGCTAGATACAAAGTCCGGCGGGCAACTCGTCGAACGAAAAGACGACTCAAGGCTTGGGAAGAAGTCACTTTCAATACTTTCCAGGCTTTTGCCTATCTACCGTACGAGTCTGACGACAAGAGCATCGTCCACAAGGTTAAGGGCCACACGCTGTACTATGAGACAAAACTTGATCGTACATGCCGGCCATTTGACGTTACTATCGACTTCAATACGACAATCGATTCGTCCTCCTTTCCAGGGGTGGACGCACGTGAGTCATCATCTCTGAACTGGCTAGAATATGATATCATTGTGTCAGGCTTCGTGATTAAGAAATTCGACTTTAACGACAGCTCGTGGATAGCTATACGGGTGAGCTCCGCTCTAGTTGAGCGAATACAGGATTGGTGGTCCTCATCAGCCGCGTAATAAGACACTCAAACCGAAAGTCCGTCGCGCAATAGTGTTCGATATAATGAGGCGAGCCTACACAGGTGAATGGGATGAGGACTATGATATCATCGAACGAGGCTTCCTAAAGAGAAAAGTAGTCCACCCTCGTAAATTGATTCTATTCCTCAAGTATGGTCTGACAGATGCAGAGTGAGGAGTACGTTGGAATGGAAGGGCCTAAGCACATCCTAGTTATCCAAGCCGCACGATCACGAGACCTATGGGTGTGCCACAGACTATTAGACCCAATAGAGCCTATTCCACACGCCGCTCCGATGCTCACTTCTCGCTCACTGTCCATGACGCCTGAGAGTCAGCAGTCCTCAATCAACACTATGAAGCCTCGCAGACATACGTTCGCTGTGAGTCCTATCAGGAGCTTCACGCTTCGACACTTGCCATCTTGTCGTAGAGTGCTCTATCGATTTCAATGAGTAGAACACATACTCTTAAAGCGAGAGAGATAGAGCCGCTCCCCTGGAAGCCTATGTTGCCGTAAGCCTTTCTCACGATGAAGTAAATACTCCACTTGCTAGGGCGATAGTGAAGCTCTACGATGAGATCATACGAAGATGCGATCGTTCGGCCTCGAGGAAGAAGAGACATAATTCTATCATCAAGAAAGTGAGCGGAGCGTGCTGTGGGCTAGTACTTCCAGTCTGACATTCTCTTAGACGCCTTTTCCTGGAGCCACGTCCGAGCTTGAACTGGCCGAAGAGCGAACGCTACGAGCTGATAGGGAAAGGAAGGCGAATGAACGCAGTAGAATAAAACACGCAAGTAAAAATGTGGAAAACTCCTCGATGGGCCAAGTGGAGTGATCTCTGTCAGACACAGCAGGAGAACGACCGCGGATCAAGAAGACTCCCACAACTGACTGGGTTCTGGCGGCTGCCAAGCTTTATGGTAGGCGACGATGAGGTTGACCCATTCTAAGGCATTCCTCAGCTGATCGAAGGGCGGCAATGAAAACGGCGGTTACGATGTGAGCTCGTCGGCCTACACGTCGAGGAAGTCTCCGACCCGCCCTCCGAAAGTATCATCCTTCGCATGAAGAGGCTTGAAGAACATACTTGGATGTTGATACTCGCAGTGTTGCGTTAAGTAGTAACTTCATAATGCTCTCTCCTACAAGCCAACACGAGTGATAGACCTAGATGACGACACTAAACTCAAAAGCGTGGGGAATATCCTGGCTGCGGTAGAAACAATGTAACTGCCGCTGTTGCCAATCAGGTAGTGTTGTTGAGCACACCGTTTAAGGAGAGAGCTGCATGATAGCCTCGACGATGTCGTTGTTAGCAGCCTTGAGGGCCTTAACAGCCTTGCCCCTTGAGCAGTTCACTTGGCTCATGACGAGCTCAATGTCCTTGGCCTCAACACCGGTCTCATCGACCTCACCCTCGTCCTCCTCGGGCTCGGCAGCAGCAGTGGTCTCAGTGGCCTCAGTGGACTCGACGTTAGAGACCTCAGGAGTAGAGGTGAACTGCGAAGCGGCAGCGGCCTGAGAGGCGGCGGACATGTCCTCAATTCGGGCCTCGCCGAACACAACGTAAGTGTCGGCGTGGGGGGCCTTCATGACATCAGGCTCGGAGATGACGAAGAGCATCTGAAGAGATAGGATGTAGATCTACAAGACAAACATTTTGAAGCTGGAATTACGTTCTTGCCCTTCCTGCAGGTAACCCTGACGACATCGGGGACAGCCTTCATGCCGAGCTTCTGCATGGCCCTACGTGCCTTCTTCTCGGCACGATTGAGCTTGGCATGCATCTCGGGCATGGCACCACCCTCAGGGACCTCACCGTTGGTGGCCTCCAAGGTGGGCATCTCGTCATCGGTATCAGTGTCGGATTCGACGACACCCTCCTCTACCTCTTTAACAGGGATCTCTTCAACACGGGACATGCTACTACGGACTGGCAACTACTGCTACAACATAAAAGCATCGAACATGGCCCATTGTACATCCTCAATTACTCTTCCCCGGGAAGAATGAGCCCCACAAACTTCCCCCTCAGCCTGTGCTCGTCTTAAACGGTATCGAAGCGGACCATAAGCCCTTACTAGTGACATCCGTTACCAGGGAAGCAGTGAAAGGGCTCTATTCCCGTGAGCTTTAGAATTTTTCAGCGCGCGCCATCGCGATCGATTCTGTCGATGGCCGCGGATTCTCCCCCAGCGCGGTTTGAGTAGGGAGTGTCAATGAAGGACTCCAGCGATTGGGAGCCAACAGACTTCTCCAGTTCGAACTCGGGCTTCTTAGTCGCTAAAGTCCAGGTAAGAATGGGCTCGTGGGTGAGTTGGCTGAGGACTATCCTAGACGAATCGTGTGTTAATTATTGAGAAATTAGTCGTACTGAATTGTAGAAACCAATATAGTGAAGGATAGGTATAATGGGCTTTTTAGAGACTGGGAGCAGCCAATGAGGATGCACACAACTTGGCGAAGAAGGAGGAATCGAGTCCCACCAGGAAACGATCAAATGATCTGATAGAAAAACAGGAAAAGAAGTTCGCGGAGGATCCTCTCAAAGATGACTTGTACGATCCAGACATGGACGATAAGGATGAAGAGTAATGCGGCTTTTCGATCTTTCTTGTGATCTAACTCTCGTTTGGGCTTCCGGAACTGCTGAAATACGACTCTACCAATCGGGTATTTGATAAGCCGATCGTATACTTGATTTTTACTTGTGAAATCTGATTAAAATTTTGATTTCTAGATTCGTGCAACAACTTCGAAGTCTCGCCACCGTCTTAGCTCAGGTTCGTAAACCAATTCATTCACGTTGAGGGTACGGAGGATGGCGAACAGCAAGGCGGTAGTAGACGGCGGAAAGTGAAGCATTCGGACGCTGTTCTATCCTGTCCACAATGCTTTACGCAAATATGCTATGTCTGCCAGGAACATACTCGGTACTACAATTTCCCATCATCTCGAGTCACTGTAACGGCTCAGGTATAGTAATCAATATCGGGCAGTAGAGGTTCGGAATTGTCGAGTTGATGAGGATAAGGTTACGTCGTATAAGGACGGACCGGACACTTACAATCCTGTAGTACTACTCTCACTTCTCCTTCTCTATTTCCTTGTGGCAGGTCTATTGTAGTAACTGCGGACTTCAAGTAGCAATGCGAGATCGCTCGGATGGGGTTTACCATATTTTTGACTGTATTAAAGACGACCCGCGAGAGTAGCTACGTTTCTAAATATCTCCTATTTTGAGTCTAGTGTCTTCACTTGATTGATCGGCGCCCTTGGTAGCTTTGTAGGGTTTTTTGTGTCGAATTTCAATAGACAATGGACTCAGCTTCATCACAGTACATCTCCGCTGTCTCTGAGAACCGCGGCGGGTTCAGCTTTGACAATGTAAACGTAGTGGAGCCCCAGTATCGGTAGTAATCATTTCCTTTAGGTCAAGCGCAACAAGCAAATGGTCGCCAACGGTGTGATCCGTCCCTTCACTACTATGAAGACTGGTAGGCTCATCATCTCTATTCAGCACACACGACAGTGGTCCCATGATGGCAGGTACCACCATCTGTGGTGTTGTCTGTGCCTCTTGTGTTGTTCTTGGGGCTGATACCAGAGCCACTACTGGCCCTATCGTGGCTGATAAGAACTGCAATAAGCTGCATTACATGGCTGAGAACATCTATTGCGGTATTGTTCACTCCATGTTGCTAGGTCAAGCATGTCAATTTCTTTTCAGCTGGTGCCGGTACTGCTGCTGACCTAGAGCATACTACGAAGAAGATCAGAAGTCAGATGGAGCTTCACAGGCTAGCCACTGAGGCCCAGGTACAATCGCTGCTTCATATCGCTACTTATGATCTCTGGTGTTCAGCCTCGTGTCGGGACTTGTGTGAAACGGTTGTCTGACTACCTCTTCCAATACCAGGGATATGTCGGCTGCGCGTTGGTGAGCCTTCTTGTCAATCGTTCGATGGAAGTTCTCCCTGCAGGTTCTTGGTGGTGTTGATGTGAAGGGGCCTCAACTCTATCAGATTTACCCTCATGGGTGATATCTCAGTTACCGAATTCTCCACAACAACCTTGTATCGATCAGGTCCACCGATTCCCTCCCTTTTGCTGCAATGGGCAGCGGTAGTCTCGCGGCTATGTCCGTCCTGGAGACAGGGTATTATGGGTTCATTGTTAGTATCTTACACGTGGCCTTATGCAGATACAAGGACAATATGACTGCTGATGAGGGTGTTGAACTTGTGAAGAAGGCGATTACGGCTGGTGTCATGAACGATCTTGGATCTGGTGGGAACGTCGACTGCGTCATCATCACCAAAGACAACAGCCCGAAACACATCAGGCCAGCAGCTCGACCGACACCAAGGTATTGCTAGTGTTCGCTTTTTGAATCGTAGGTCTCTTCCTATTCAGGACGTTCCGGAACCCTGCTGGATATAAATTCCCTATTGGTACTACCCCAGTGGTGACTAGCGTGACGAAAACAATCTTGAAAGACGGCGAATTCGTGGCGATCGATGCCGATGGGGACCAGGAAATGGTAGTGGTGTCAACTACCTGATCTGGTGTTTATCATTGTATGCAGGTACAAGCTTAGATAAATGAGGCTGAACCACGATCCGCTAGGTATTGTCTCTCGGTTTCAACTTGTAGTATTGTTGAGTCGTCATCGGTGGGATATGATTTTAGATCGCTCATCATTCATGGTAGAATTTCTCCAAGTAGGGTCCCACGGTCGCTCTAGAGTCGATTCCGCCTCCGTGTAGCTCGTCGTTCAAGGGTAGCATCCGTCCTCCATACTGTTGCGTTCCTGAAGTATCCCTTTGAATATCCCGTGATCCACGACGACCTATGCACCACGACTAGCTTTAGGAGGTTGAAGGTTGATGGCCTCACAAGGGGTTGTGGTAAGAGGAAAGCTGGAGATCGTCGATCCTAGATCTGCAAGCTGATTTCTGACGCTACCAATTTTACGTGTTCTATTTCGTTTTGCATTGAGATGAGTCGAGTCACTTGTCTCGGGACTGTGAGACTTTGGATATCGATGTAGTGTATTAGTTCATGTATGGCACACGGTTCTCGAGACCGACTACAGCATGGCATAGAGGGAGGCGAACCTCGCGTGAGGGAAGGTATCTCCGCTTTCGGAGAAGCCCATAGGCAACTTACGATCCGACCACAAAAATTAAGTTATTGACCACGAGGAGGGTCGACCTAATCTGCCAGGAGGTTCATCTAATATGATTGGGCACGATTATGATCAATCAGCGAAAACAGGAGCGTTGCCGTATTAGTCATAGTAGCAGTGATCTCGTACTCTCCCCTGCTTTCTCGCACTAGCTTGTCTGCCGGGGTGATGCTCCTATGTAGACTGAGAGAATAGAAGAAAGCATGACACAGGATGCGGTTTAGATGCTCGATCAGGTACAGATATGTACTCTATTGTCTTTTCCTGTGTAGATGCGCAAGGCTGGGTGTGTGGGTCCAATAACCATCCTATGCCGACCGCTACAATCATTCTGTCTCACATAGAAATACTCAACATTCACAACTCGGGAGATGCAGAAATAATTAGATGGACGAGCAGCACTAAACACTTGTATCGCTCATTCAACCTCCGGCAACATCTACGTCCATCGCGATCGACTCGGATGGAGCGACAGGGTCTATCTTCGACTGCCCAACAGGATCAACCTATTGAGCGACTTAATAACCAGCTCGGAGCTTCTATGCAATTACTTTCATGTCCTGGGCCGCTTCGGTTTCCTCTGATGTCTCCATCTGCTCAAGGTTATCAACGGGTGCCTCATCAGGCTCATTGCACTCCACTTCATCGTTGTCTGGTTCTGTCAATAATATACAATATTTAGCTCAAAACGGGAGTCCATCATTATCACCATCCTCATCGTCAGTCACTTCAACCTCCACACCCTTATCGAGAGGTACAGCAGTGTCAAAGGCTATCCCCTCCTCAACAGCGTCACCACCAT